AAAAAAAAAAAAAAATGTTTTAGGCTGGATTTAATCTATTTTTTACACTGTCACTTGTTTTTAGCTCACAATTTGCCATCTCCTATCAGACCTTCTTAGCTAGGTTGACGTAAATTGGAGTAACAGTGGAGACAGTTTAGTTTGGTTGTTCATGCATTGTAATTGACTTAAAGTTAGTGTACCATACTCCTGGATCTGGCCAAAATAAGCCAAATAAGCAGTAGTAATACCCAGTAGCAGGAGTCAAAGTGGAGTCCACTGTCTACTGACTATTATGAGCTGAGGTGAGTTAATTTTGTTCCTCTCTGTCTGTGTCACAAAACCAAATAAAAATTAAAAGAATGGCTCCCAGAGATGATGCTGGCACATTCGTACAGTCACTCAGCAAATACCCTGTCTATTTTAAGGGGTGAAGCCCATTGGTTAAAAAATACACAATGGTCCCAGAGCTTTCACATGGCACAAAGCACCCATGCTGACAAAATGTCCTTAACCTCCAACCCAAAGTAATCCCCTCTCTACACATACACACACATGAATGCACACACACGCGCACACAAATACACACAAACACACACACCCCCTGGGGTAGAGCACTGTGTGTGTCTGTTCCATGTTAACTCAAGGAACCTGTCACCATAGAGCACTCCAACAATGTTCACCACATCACGACTCGGAAACTCCTTGAACATAGAGTGGATTTGCCATTAGGGCCCCTAGACTTTGGAATGGTCTGCCAGAGGAGATCAGGTTTGCAGAAAATATAGGCCAAAAATAAATCAAAAGGAAATATGTTTTGAAGTCTCTGACCCCGAAGTACTCCGGTAAGGCAGATTGGGAAGCTTTTCATGCTCAGTTTGAACTGTTAGCTCATTTTGGGGGGTGGTCGAATGAAGATTGGGCACTGCAGTTGACTTTGTGCCTCACGGATGATGTGAGGACAGACGTGATTATGGGGCTTTAGTTGGAGCACTGAGGAGGCGCTTTGGACAGTGTGTACAGCCCGGGCTGCTGCACTCCGAATGGAAGAATAGAAGCAGGCAGCCTGGAGAGCCACTACGGGTGCTAGCTAATGACATTGAGAGCCTCTCTCTGCGGGCATATGCTCACATGCCACATGCAGCGCGAGCTAGCACAGGACCAGTTCATACAGGCGCTCTCTCCTACGGAGCTGCGCATACAGACCCAGCTGGCTCATCCTGAGTCATTGAAGATAGCCTTGGAGATGGCTTTGGAGAGGGAGCTCGGGTGGGCTGGGGCTTCAGCTGGGGCTTCGGTTGGGGTGCAAGGAGACACACACTGTGCGGGCAGTGGGGCAGAGCAGCCCAGAGCCAGAAAAGCCTGCATGGGTGGCTGAAATGACTGAACTCATTTGTGCTGTGTCGCTAGAGGTGGCACGCAACACACGCCCTGGTCCCATGGTCTGCTGGGGGTGTGGCCAGCCAGGCCATCTGTGCCGGGATTGCCCCATGTCCCTCAGAGCTCAAGGAAACGGCTTGGGGTCCGCATAGACGGGGCAGTGCAGATCCCTGGCTCTCTGTCCCAACCACCACCATCGCCAGGAGGAGCCCACCGGCACGGACGGGGGAGTAAGACTCCACGCCCCCCAGAAGCAGACGAGTGCAAGCGGATGGAGCCTGTTGTTGTGGTGGGCCGGACCAGGCGGCTGAATGAGGTAACCAGGAAGGACTCATACCCCATACTACACATCGATGAGTCGCTGGACCTGGTTAGGGGGTCCTCCTGGATCTCCTCACTAGACCTCCGCATAGGCCGTTCTCCACTAACAGAGGACACTGGCAGTTCAAGGTCCGGTGCTTCGGCCTGTGCAACGCTCCAGCTACTTTTGAGCGTTTGATGGACAGGGTGCTGGATGGCATCCCCTGACAGGAGTGTCTGCAATACCTCAACGACATCCTGGCCCATGGCAGCTCCTTCCAGTCAGAACTGGGGGCGCTACTGCGTGTGCTGGAGAGGGTGGCTGCCGCAGGCCTGAAGCTCCACCCTGAGAAGTGCCACTTCATGAGGAGAGAGGTGTCCTTCTTGGGCCACCAAGTGGGGGAGGAGGGTATCAGCACCATGGAGGACAAAGTGTGGGCTGTCCGAGGCTGGCCCACCCCCACCGACCATCATCAGCTGAAGACCTTCCTGGGTCTGGCCTCGTACTACAGGAGGTTTGTACGGGGCTTCTCACGCGTCGCTGCTCCCCTGAACCGCCGGCTGCCGAAGGACAAGGCCTTCACTTGGACAGTGGAGTGCGAGGAGGCCTTCAACACCCTCAAACGTGCACTGATCGAGGCCCCCGTGCTCGCCCCCCCCCCGACCTCATCTTGCCCTTTATCCTGGACACAGACCCGAGCAATGTGGGCATGGGTGGGGTGCTGGCCCAGGTGGGGCCAGAGGGGGAGAGAGTTGTGGCGTACTTCAGCAAAACATTCAAGAAACATGAGCGCCGCTACTGTGTCACCCAGCGGGAGCTCCTCGCTGTTGTGGCTTCCATCAAACACTTCAAGGACTACCTGGGTAGCCTGCCCTTTACTGTAAGGACTGACCACTCTGCTCTCCAGTGGCTCATGTCTTTCAAAGAGCCAGAGGGGCAGGTTGCACGCTGGTTGGAGGAGCTTCAGCCGTACGACTTCACACAGGGCAGGGGCACGCCACTCCAACGCCGACACCATGTCCCGTCGGCCCTGTACTGCAGATGGGTGCCTCCACTGTGAGCGGAGAGAGGGCCATGAGAGAGAGCTGTGTGTGGAGGAGGGGGTCTGTGCCACAGTGTGTCGGGCGAGCGGGCCTGTCTGCTGTGAGCTGCAGACTGTCGACGTGGTTGAATGGGGGCAGCAGCAGGGACGGAACACAAACCTACAACCAGTGCTACAGTGGGTAGAGGCGCAGCTGAGGCCACCGTGGGAAGAGGTGGCAGCGCTCTCACTCGCGACCAAAGGGTTGTGGTCAAAGTTTGAGAGACTTTTGGCTGATGGCGTGCTTCAGCGGGCATGGAAGGAGCCAGCTACGGGAGAGGAGAGGTGGCAGGTGGTGGTCCCAAAAGCACTGCGGGAGGCTGTGCTCCAGAGCACTCATGGGGGGGTGGGGACTGGACACTTTGGGGTCACAAAAACCCTCCGCCGCCTCCATCAGGGCTTTTACTGGGGGCAGCACAAGAGGGATGTGGAGGCATTTTGAAGCCACTGTGACAACGGCACAGCAAGAAAGGGCCCTCCAGGCCGTTCTCATGCTCAGCTCCAACAATTCCCAGTTGGGGCTCCCATGGAGAGGTTGGAAGTGGATGTAGTTTTGCCGTTCCCCACCACAGACAGTGGAAACCACTGGGTGCTCACGGCCATGGACTATTTCATAAAATGGCCCGAGGCCTATGCTCTGCCTGACCAGGAGCTAGAGACCATCGTCGACGCCCTGACTGCGGGGATGTTCAGCAGGTTTGGAGCTGCGGAGTCCATCCACAGCGCACAAGGCAGAAACGTTGAGTCCTGTGTGTTCGCCACCATGTGTGAGAGGCTGGGTATGCACAAGAGCTGCACTACTCCTCTCCATCCTCAAAATGATGGCTTTGTGGAGCGCTTCAACAAAAATGCTTGGACAGCAGCTGGCCATCGTCTCTGCCAAACACCAGCGTGACTGGGACAAGCACCTGCCCATGGTCCTCATGGCATGCCGCTCCGCTGTCCAAGACTCCACCTCCTGCACACCTGCCCTCCTCATGCTGGGGAGGGAGATCCGCACCCCTGCAGGGATTGCGTTTGGTCGGCCCCTGGATAGCCCTCCAGCACTTTGTGGCTGGGGAGCTGGTCTGGGTCTACAGCCCCCTGATAAAGAAAGTGTTGTGACGTGACTTCCATTATTGTGATGACTATTATTTATCAAATAATTACCTACTATGTTTAATTGTTACTAGATTAAATTAATCATGTAACAATGAACTCATTAGGAATTTGTGGCACCACGGGAAAAGTTGTTTAACGAGTTACCGTTTACCGAATTAACTCTAAAGATATCTAGATATGTCTTTAACAGTCATTTATTAATAATTTACCTCAAATCAGTCTCATTCTGAAAGTCGTAGGCTCTTTAAGTCTGCACAAACCCGGGTCTTACTGATCATTCCGTACCACACAAATTGATTTAATTATTCATATACTAACTAATTAAAAATGACAACACAAGATACAAACACGTACACGGTATAGGTAGGCATTAGAAACTTAATACAATGAAAATGGGTCCCTAGCGGACTAACACAATATTACACTTGTTACAAAAGATGGCGAGTTAAAGAGAGAGAGAGAGAGAGAGAGAAAACACTTGGATACACATGGACCTACGCTCATAGTAATCCTAATACTTTGCCCAGAACTGCCGCCCGTTTGGTAAGAAGTAATGCATGTATTTACGTGTTGGAGGCCTTTGTCGTGTATCTCTGTTGGACCCAGGCCTTCGTGGGAAGGGGTCGATTGGTCTTTCTCTTTCAGATGGCCTTTTAGATGTAAGGCTCTGATTGTCCACAAGAGGTCACAATGTCCTTCTTCTTAGTTGTCTGTTTACTTTCACTCGTTCTAGAAGTGGTCTTCTGAGGACGGCTAATCAGCCGTGTCGATGATCTCCTGTGTGGTGATGAGAGCAGTGTAGTAGACGATGGTTTGAAGAGAGTAACAGGATGGTCCCACTTAAATTCACATTCTTAGATACAGTACTTAGAACAGCTACTCAGCCATAACATTGATTGTTAGTGGAGGCAACTTTGTCGTCTTCACCTCGTGTTGATTTTCAGGGTCGGGACCAATATGGACAAAAGCTGCAGCTTGAGGTCCGTCTAGTCTGATCTGATAATTCTCAGTCTTTTATGCACTCTGGTAAAGACGGTTGTTTCTGTCATACTGACACGCTCTCTGAGCTCCCTCAGGCATGGCTAGTTACGAGTCATGGCGTTTGTAAGTCATAGTGGTGGACATGAATGGGGTGTTAATCAGCCATTGATTCCCTACCACTTCCACTTGCGTGGTGGTGACTCCACCTCCTGCTGTTAGTTTGGCTCGACAGCGTTCTTCGCTGGTGATAGGCTTAAGGCCACAAAGGCGCTCAGTGTTATCCCTCACGAAGGGTTTGCTAGGACACAAGTAGTGGAAGTCTTTGGTTAGAGTACACATTAACAGGTTAGGGGTGAGATAGAAATCTGGATTGTGTTAATGATAAGCTACGACTGGAGGTGTGATGATTTTCACATGGGTGTTGTCGCGCCAAAATCCTACATTTAGAACTGTTTTCAACCTATAGATATTCTCCAGTTCAACAAGCGGCAGCTTCAGTAAAAATCCCACTTCATTTCAATTAACATCAACGTGTATTGGAATTGCAGACCCCAGACTATAGGCCAGGTGTGACTGTAATGGCTTTATCATGGTTGTGGTGGATGAGGTCAATATGTTGTGCACCATTGAGAGGGGCACTAGATATGACGGGATTCTATTCATGGCCAAGTGGTCCATAGAAGAGCTAACTTCACGGAGAAAATCCTCCAACAACAATTAAACCAATTGGACATGGGCATAGTCATGGTTCATGACCTCTACTAGCTTGCCTACCAACAGGAGGGTTTTGTTCAGGAGAGTAGCGTGTCTGTGTTTACCACCAGAATAGTGTTCTGGAGAGACCTTCCCACATGCTGCAACCTGAGTGCCTGTGATTACATCTGTTGCTGGATAAGTGGCATCTCTTCAGTAATCTCCCTAACATTTATTTTGACCGTGGCTAGACTGACTGCAAATAGTGACCCTACGGCTGCACCTATTGAGAGTAGCGCCCTGAGGAATCATTTTTCTCGCCTGGGCTCTGCTAGTTCTGACTTTTGGAGTTGGGCCAACATGTGGGCAGTGTCTAGCTGAGCGTGCTTAACTGCCTGGGTGGTCCAGTCAGCCCCGGCCCAACTCATATGTGCCGCAGGGGAAATGTGTTGGCGGTACATGTTCTCTGCATCTAGGCGGACGTACACCCTCTGCGTGTGTACTCTGCAGTTGGTTATAAGGAGTCCTGGGTCATCACGAAGAACGATTCCTGTAGGGGGTCCACTCGTGAGTATATCTGCTGGCTTGGTTTTGATCAGGATCATCCAAAGGAACTCCATCCTACAAAAACGCATAATTAGAGATATTGTTTGATTATTTCAGTTGTGTTATGTTTTGTTTTGTTTTTTTAGTTTTTTTGAGAAAAATAACATTTTGACAACAAATCTAGCAGATTTTCCTATTTTGAACAGCACAATGCCGGACAATATCAACAATGACAACGAAATGTGTGTCTTGTAGCTGGGAAGAGAAGAAAATATGTTAGGTGCAATGTATTGACCTCCCGGAAGGGATCAGCTGAGGATACTTAAGAATGTTGTTAGAAACCTAGCCAATCAGAGGTACTATCTGTTCGGGGCTGGCTTGCACCCCTTCTATTCCCATGGGGGGAGTGTACAACTTGATTTGGTTCCTGTGGACCCACTTTAACATGATGTTCTGTCGACCTTTGCTGATTCTGATTTGATAAGCAACTGGTGACAGCTTTAACACAATCTCATGTGGCCCTGTCCAATGGGGCAGGAACTTTTTCGCAACCCCCCTGGTTTGGTACCACACCGTATCCCCGACTTCAAACTTCTGGTGTGAGGCATTTTTGTCGTAATGGGTCTTGTCACCTTCCACACTTCTTTCCAACTTTCCTTGAGCGTACGCAAAGGTAGTCTGGAGGTTGGTTCGCAAGTCTGTCACGTATTGATGGGCCGTGTATGCGGTGGCCGCGGCTATATCTCCCGGTTGGTACAGGAGATGCAGTGGAAGCGTCATTTGCCGGCCCGTCATCATCTCAAATGGTGTTATTCCTGTAGACCTGTTGCGTGTGGCTCTGATCACCATCAGTATGAGTGGGAGTTTGAGGTCCCAATCTTTGTGGTTGGCTGCCACATATTTCCTCAAGATTATGACGATTGTTTGGTTGCTCCTTTCTACCCTCCCAGAGCTCCTAGGTTGGTACGCGATGTGTTTAGCTTTGACTCCCAGGAGCCGCCACAGTTTGGTCATTACAGCAGCCGAAAAATGGGTTCCTCTGTCGCTGTCCACGGTTTCTCCTGGCAGGCCGAAACGACTGAAAACGTGGTTGAGCAAAAGAATGGCCGTGGTTTCCGCTGTATCATTGGGTGCGGGCAGGCACTCCACTCATTTTGTGAATGCGCAAGTCACTGTGAGGAGATACTTGCCTCTTGCCGACCTGTCATCTGGGCCGACCCAGTCGATCTGGATTGAGCTCCAAGGGTAAGACACACCCTTGTGCTGCAAGGGTGCTCTGTGAAGTGGCATGGAGGGTTGAAACTGGCAGCAAACTAGCCACCCCCTCATGTATTTTGCCACGTCTTGTTCCATGTGAGGCCAGTGGGCCACCTGTTGCAATGTTTCACATGTAGCCTTGACCCCCACATGGCTCGTCGTGGGCATAAGCTATCATTATCGCCCTCTGTGTTTTAGGAACCACCCACCTTTGTGTGGCATCGGTTTCTGAAACATAAACCAGTAGGTACAGCGAACGCAAGTCGTGTGAGCCTGCCAAAGCCAGCTCGGACACTGGGTGATTGATAGAATCAGACAAGAAAGCCATGAAAGTGGCGAGGGACTCATCTTGGTGTTGCATTGCTACCAGGTCATCATTCAAGAATGAATGAGTTAGCAACACATTATGTTCGTGCGAAGATGATTCCCGCAGTGCTACATGGCTACGCGTTACTGCAGACATCATGGGCGCTTCGGTGATCATTGCGTCTCGAGCATCGAACACCCAAGGAGTGCCGTGAATTGCACCAGATTTCGCCATGCTGTCAGCATGGTCGTAGCCAAGTTTGTTACGACCAGGTGATTTGGATTGTCCCTTGACTTTTTTCCAATACACCTGTATGTCGTGTTTGGTTATGAGGTCATCGCAAGCTAGAATGAGCTCTTTGTTTTTCACTTCTTTGCCACTTGAAGTAGTCATGTGCTTTTGTTTCCAAAACGGCAAGTGGCATAAGAAGGTGAGTCTGGCATAGTTTGAGTCGGTGCAGATTGCCAGTTCTGACAAGTTGTGTTTTTACGCAGTTTGCAGTGTGATAAGTACACCAGCTACTTCTGCGAACTGGCTGGTCTTGTTGCCTAGCTGAAATTGAAGCAGTTTGCATGGAATGTCGTTGTGCCATACCAATCCCACACCAGCTTGCAAGTGGTATAGCTGATGGTAAGAACAGCTATCTACAAATGCCATCGGCATGCCAAGACACACGTTGTCTTCGAAGTAGTGATGGTTCGATGGCAACGGCGAAGCTACGTCACATGGGGCTGGTGCGAAGTCGGTTTCGTCTTCACCGCAGCATTGACACACCGCCAAAGCCCCACCCAAAGGCAGTTGACAACCACATCATGGCTTTGCAGCGTCATGAGCCAAGCCGCTATCCTGCTGTTGTGTACAGCACCCTCACGGATTCTTTAGCTTTTCAGAAAAGTCACTGGCTGCTGACATGTTTCTATGATCACCTTTTGTCCGCCGACATAAGAGGTGAAGTGCTTGACCTCCCAGACTGTCGACAGCAGCGCCTTTTTGCAGTCTGAGTACTTGTGTTCAACAGGGTTGAGTGTTTTGCTCGCGTAAGCAACCACATGTCTGTCATGGTCGTATTTTTGGTACAACCCAGCACTAAGGCAGTGCTCTGAGAAACCTACTTCCAAAAAGAATGTCTTGTCTTTGCTGGGGTAGACCAGGCAGGGTGCCACACAAAGCAGGTATTTCAAGGAAGTCACAGCTTCGTCATGAGTGGCATCCCAAATGAACGGGGTGTCTTTCTGAAGAAGACGGGACAAAGGTTTTGAGAAGTCAGCATAATTTTCGATGAATTGACGGGAGTAATTACATACTCCCAAGAAGCTACGTACCTCATGAAGGTTTGCAGGCGTTTTGATGTTGCGGACTGCTTGGATTCCGCTAGATTGTGGCAGGAAGCCCTCAGCACCCACCAGAAGTCCAACATAGTTGACATTTACATTTGTACATTTACGTCATTTAGCAGACGCTCTTATCCAGAGCGACTTACAGTTAGTGAATACATATTTTTTTATACTGGCCCCCCGTGGGAATCGAACCCACAACCCTGGCGTTGCAAACGCCATGCTCTATCAACTGAGCTACATCCCGGCCGGCCATTCCCTCCCCTACCCTGGACGACGCTGGGCCAATTGTGCGCCGCCCATGAGTCTCCCGGTCGCGGCCGGCTGCGACAGAGCCTGGATTCGAACCAGGATCTCTAGTGACACAGTTAGCACTGCGATGCAGTGCCTTAGACCACTGCGCCACTCAGGAGTTGACCTTGGTCTTGCACCATTGTCCTTTCATGATAGCCAGCTTAGCCCCTGCCATTCCTAGTTGGTTAAGAACGTGGTCCATCTCGTTGTGGTTATCAATCAATTTTCAATCAATTTTATTTTATATAGCCCTTCTTACATCAGCTAATATCTCGAAGTGCTGTACAGAAACCCAGCCTAAAACCCCAAACAGCTAGTAATGCAGGTGTAGAAGCACGGTGGCTAGGAAAAACTCCCTAGAAAGGCGAAAACCTAGGAAGAAACCTAGAGAGGAACCAGGCTATGAGGGGTGGCCAGTCCTCTTCTGGCTGTGCCGGGTGGAGATTATAACAGAACCATGCCAAGATGTTCAAAAATGTTCATAAGTGACAAGCATGGTCAAATAATAATCAGGAATAAATCTCAGTTGGCTTTTCATAGCCGATCATTAAGAGTTTGAAAACAGCAGGTCTGGGACAGGTAGGGGTTCCATAACCGCAGGCAGAACAGTTTAAACTGGAATAGCAGCAAGGCCAGGCGGACTGGGGACAGCAAGGAGTTATGTGACCAAGTCTCACTCCTCATGAGAACATTGTCCACATAGATTATCGTTCCCTGTTGGTTGCATCTGGCATTGCCTTGTGCAGAAAGATGTTGCGGGGGAGTTCGAATACCCGAACGAATACCCGAACGGGCAACGATTGAACGTGAAGAGCTTGTTCGAGAAAGAGAAAGCCAACTTGTGTTGGTCGCGAGGGTCGACTGTCACGGTCCAGAAACCATTCGCCACGTTGGCGTTTGTCACCTTTAGCAACTCTTGGTCGAGCTGTGTCATAGGCCAACGAGACAACGGAACCAGCTTGTTGAGTTGTCTATGGTCAATGGTAAGACGCCATTTACCCGTTGGTTTCAAAACAGGCCACACGGGAGTGCTGTACGTACTGTTACATTCCCTGATTATCTGTTTAGCTAATAGGGAGTCAATAATATCTTGTACCGCTGAGTACACTGCAAGCTGAATTTTGTATTGTCTCACCAACGTAGGAGCTGCTCTGGATGGTGTAGGAATACGCACCACATGAATACCCGTAACCCCGCAATCCGGCGAGTCTGTCGACCAGATCTCTCTGTTTGTTAAATAAGTCCTGCAACTGATGTCTTTCAGTGTCATTGACAAGTGCGTCTGCCTCCGTCAGTAGCTGTAGTACCTGTGCATGGAAACCAGGATATGGTTCAGCAGCATTGTACAGGTCTTCATCAGGTGGTGACGGCTTGTCAATGGTGGGGGAATCATTAGCTGTTACGTCATTAGTGTGTACTTCACGTGCAGAAGAAGATGCGGTATCATCCTCCGTGACGATGGAGTATATCAACAGGTCGTTGTCAGAATCGACATCCAGCCTGAACGTTGATGTGTCATCCAGTGGCAATACGGGAGTTATTGCGATTGCCTTTGATGGACAAGTAAAAAGTGTCCCTTCTTCACCACATAGGTCTAGGGAGGAAGGAAGAAGCCCAATCACGAGAACAACAAGTTCAAAATCATGGAATGAGTAATCAATCAATGTTCCTAGCTGAGTGTGCCGAGGAATGGAGATATCCGCTTGAGTCAGATTCTGCACCAAGAGGTAAGTGGATCTAGCGTTTAGCTCCAACAGCGGGTTACCATTGATAGTTAGCCCCAATTCGAATAATTGCGGCGAGGGTGGGAAGAACGCAGTGGTGCCTTCCATCCGGTAGACAGGTGCCAGGTTCAGTCTTATAGAAACCTCTGTGGTTCTTG